CTCATCTCTTGCAGGCCCCAGTTGAACACACCACAGGCAGGAGCTCAATCAATATTTGTTGAGCTAAACTAGCCAACTCTGAACCTCCGTTTTTGAGTGCAAGAGTGGGCAGAAATGTGTTTGCTGAATGCAATTCGAGCATGGTCCTGACTGAGCAGAGCCTTGGGCTTGGTTCCCTGGGTCCCTGCAGATCTGTCTCCATGGGTTCGGTGGCCCAGTCACACACCTCTGACTATGAGCAGACACTATCTGCTAGTCCCCAGTTCTATGTATGAATTCTTCTACGTATGTGTCTTGTTTCTCCTCTTCCTCCTACCAAAGTGCCTGACTTCTATTGTCTGCGTGCCCCTGGGCTGCTCTTGCCCTGGTCCCACAGTGCTGTGCTTGGACGCAGGTAGCACACAGTGCTTATGACCAGAGTGCCTGAATGGGGTCTAGCTGCAGCCAGTTGGGAGTTCTACATTGACGTCCAGATCCCCAGGTGCAACCCACCACGCTGGGACTAGGATGGACGGGGAGAAAACATCTCTGCTGCCCTCCCCCACCAAGCAAACATGCTCTTGCTCTGTCTTCAGAATGTCATCACCTTTCTAAACATTGGTCTCCTTACCACTCACCTGGGGTTGATGGCAGGGTCTAGTGAAATCAGTGAATGCAAAGGGGTCTGGGGAAATCTTATCCAAATGTGAGAGATTGTGAAGTCTCACTAATGTTTTACCACCCTTCTTGGGATAGTGAAGTACCCAGGGAGGAAACAGGAGGAAGGGGGGCCTCCAGGGGTCAGCAAAACCCACAGCAAAGGGCCTAGCCACTAAGTTCCAGGCTGCAGAGGCATATGCCAAGGCAGGCTGAAAGGGTTGCCCAGGGGTCCCAGAATCTGGCTTGCTCCACACCAGACCTTGTGCAAGGCTGGGACCGTGTCGGCAAACACCCTATCAGCTTCATTTTATTCAGAGGTTCAATCCAGGCCAAAGAGGGGTGTGCTGAAGCTTGTTGCCATGTATTTCTCCATCTTCAGATAAATGCCACCTTCTCTCCACAGGCCTTGGGTATGAGAACAGCCTCTGACACACTGGGGATTCCACAGGACAAACAGAAAATGGGATAGAGTTTGAGGGTTGAGAGGGTGGCAGGAGGGGAGGGGGGCGCCAGGGCCTCAGAGGCTGGGGGTGGGAGTGGGGCTAAGCTTGGTCCAAGTCCCCATGACCCCTACTGCATTCTCTGAACACAGCCCCTGCTTGAGCCTACCTTGGGAGAGGAATCTATTCACGCTGTCACCCAGTGTTGCAGAACACTTTTGTGCCAAGCAGTGCATGCTGGGACTGTAGAAATGGCTCACACATAGCTTTTGACATCAAGAACTTAGAGATGGGAGACACAGAGAGGCAAGGAGCTAGGGGATATTGAATTTTTCTTTCCAGGAGCTGGCAAATTAGTTTTTTTTTTTTTTTTCTTTTTTTGAGATGGAGTCTCGCTCTGTTGCCCAGGCTGGAGTGCAGTGGTGCGATCTCGGCTCACTGCAACCTCCACCTCCCTTGTTCAAGCCATTCTCCTGCCTCAGCCTCCTGAGTAGCTGGGACTACAGGCGCGTGCCACCATGCCTGGCTAATTTTTGTATTTTTAGTAGAGACGGGGTTTCACCACATTGGTCAGGCTGGTCTCAAACTCCTGACCTCGTGATCAGTCCACCTCAGCCTCCCAAAGTGTTGGGATTACAGGCGTGAGCCACTGCGCCCGGCCACAGATGAACTTTTTAAAGGATGAATAAAATTTAAACAGAGCTGGAAAGGACACTTCAGGTCAGAGATCCCTAGGCACTTCCATGGAAGGGTTTCACTGAAACAAAGGGCTAAGAGAAGGGTAGGGCCTTAGGGCACAGTAAGAGCCTTCTAATGGTTCAGCTGTAGTGCCAGCTGGGGAGACCACCTCAGGAAGTTACAGTGCTCTCTTGCAAGATGTAGTGCTTTATGCCTCAAATGATTGACCAAATCTGGGGTTTTTTATTTCACAGCCAGAAAACAAGACCAGAAACCCAGAAGTAAAGTGTAGTGGGTGATACCTTCAATGAATACCCAAACAACTTATTTTCATAAATGACTGCTTCATGTCTGGAGGCCCCTGAGGCCTGCTGTTCTAAAACCATGGCCCCGGGTGCCAATGACAGGTCCACTGCATCATAAACAGAAATTGCCTGACCCTTGGCCATGTGAAATATCTCATATGATGAGGAAAACAGCCACAAAAGTGGGATATGGTATTGGCAAGTACTTGGGGTTCCTAGTTACAAACAACAGAAACCAATGCTAGTTTAGTTGAATCCGAAAAGTTTTATTGGAAAGCTATAGAGGAGATTGGGGAATTGTCAGAGAGGCTGGAGAATCAGAAACTGGCAAGAGCAAAGGAACTGGGCAGCCAAGCACACAGCCACATCCTGCCATAGGAGCTATTGGCTGCCAGCACTGTCAGCATGGGACCCACATCACTGCCACCCTGTACCACTGCTGCTGCCGCCCCTGCTGCCACCACCATCATCACCACAGCAGCATGGGGACAAATGCTTCAGGATCCCTGCTTCTCTGACTTTCTCCCTCCAGCCTTAAAGTACTGGGCACGAGTGTATGATGGGCTTAGTTCATGTCCCAGGTCCAAGTCACAGCTACTCAGGGCCCCAGGAGTACAGGTCCTGGGGCCTGTGGGCTTTCCTGGTAGAGCACGCCTCAAGTCCACCAAGACACTGCAGTAGCAGGTTGCTCCAACACACCAGCAGGGGGCTTTGAGCACTGGGTAAGTGTCCCTTTCTGTTTCTGTGCAGAGACTAATTCTGACTAAAAGGCAAATTAGGGTCACTGCTATGCAATAGCAACAGAAAGGAAGATGATTAGGACCCAAGCGTGCTCCTAAAACACCTCCTTAGGTGGTGCCAGTCAGAGCACAGCAAAGGTTAATGGTAAACCTCCAAAACCCCACCCTAAAAGGGCTCTCCAAGGACTCAGACTCCTGAGCTTCCATAACCAGCTGAGGTGCTGGCTGAAGGCCAAGGGGAAACCTAGAATGACTTGTGAGGGATGAAGTCATAAATATCAGCTTGACCAGTTGCAGAAAAAAGAGCTGCAGTTTCAACCCACATTTCTGTACTTGTAGTGAGAGAAGAATGACATCCTGCTTTTCCTAATTGGAAAATTTTTTGATTTTGCTTATTTTGTTGTAATAATATTCATGAAAATGCACTGACACTGTAAAAAATATGAAGCAAATTCATTATTTCAGGTGAAAGACAAAAGCCTCCTTCCTGACTGCTTTCCCCCAATCCTCCGTCCCTCCCTAGAGGTAACCCCTGCCATCAGTTAGGCATGTCGCCTTCCAGACATTCTTAGGCATTTTCATATAAAGTTTGGTTTTGTAAGGTTTTATTTTACACAAACACTGTACATATTACTCTACACTATGCTTTCGTAACACTGTCTTGGAGATCTTTTCGTATCAGTACATCCAACTTTTAACTGCTGCATAGTTTTAATTCCATACTAGCAAGGAACCCAGGTTGGGCTGAAGTGCACGCACCAATTGAATATGCTGATAGATAGCTACTACCCAAACTGTTCTCCAAGAAGACCGCTATAGTTTATATGCACACCAACCCCATGAGTCTTTTCATTTCATCTCTTCCTAGCCCAAACTAGATATTATCATGAAGAAAAGCTATTGGCTTCTGATAGATGTAATATGTTTCATCGGTGTGTTAATTTACATGTCACCGATTATGAGTCAGGTTGAACTTGAACAACATCCAGCCTGTTGGAGATGTGCGGAAATAGCACTCAGAAACTGTCAGTAGGAGCATGAACAAGTACAATGACTTTGGAAAGCAATTTGGCAATATCTCGTTGGGGTGAAGATGCTCAAACCCTAGAACCCAGAAATTTCACTTCCATATACTTACCTCTAGAGAACTTCACACATGTGCACAAAAGGACATCTGTTTAGTATGTTCATTGCCGCAAAATGCTGGGAAGAACCTAAGTGTTCACCAGTAGGGAAATGGATAAATAAGGTGTGGTAATTCATACAATTAATATTTTGTATACAGCAGTTAAAACTGCATGAACTAGATCCACATATATCGGAATGGCTAAGTCTCCAAAACACTGTTGAGCGTAAAATTCAAGTTGCAAAATGATATATATAGTCTATCAATTATATCCATTTAAAAAACATTAATACTGTATTTGATTATGAATATATACACACATATACATACATACACACACTCATATATATGTCTAAAGACACACACAAGAAGTAAACACACCATTTTCTGGTGTGTTTCTTACCTCTGTGTAAGAAAGAAGGTAAATATTATGGGCTGAGGAACTTCACCTGTGCTTAAAAAATATATATTTATTGGAGAGAGAGAGAGAGAAGAGAGGGGTGGCAGGAGAGAGAGAGAGAAAGAGAGAGAGAGAGAGACACATCTCTGAAGCAAATATAGCCAAATGTTAAAACCTGTTCACTCTGTGTAGGTGAGTACCTGTATTTTCCTGTAGCACTTGTGTGGCATATTTTTTCTATTCCTATCTGTGTCGCTGTGTTAAGCTATAAAATTCGCATATAGCTTTATTTTTTTGGACCCATTCCCTCTGAGAGTTTCTATTTTCTCAAAGGTGATTTCAACTCATTCATCCCTACATTCAGTTTGGACTTAATCCTGCCATTGTTTTGTTTCTTTACCATGCTTTCTTATTGTTTCTCTCTTTCCTTCTTTGTTTTCTTCCTTCTTCATCTATTTGACTTTTTCCCTGTAGTAGCTGGACAACCATACACTTTATTCCTACTTTTAAAGTCACTGCCCTCATTTTTTTTTTTTTTTTTTTTTTTTTTGCGATTGTTGAAGTCAGCATTTCCAGTGAAACTAAAGTTTTTGATGCAAATGCAAGGGATCAATTATAAAGTCATTCAGTACCACTGTTTCAGACAAAACCAAAGAATTCCATTACACCATGTAAAACCAAAAGAAAAACTTTAATAAGCTTTTACAGCACTGCAATTACAGGAACATCGACCCATAACATGCAACAAAAATGATTTTGCCTTTTGGACATATTTAACAGATACACTTGACATTACAAGTAACAGCAACACATTCTACTGAAGAAAACAAATGCGATTTAACTTTCAGGTTAGAAAACGTATGTTCTTACTGCAATCTCAAGTAGCATTTATAAAGTTTAGTTTTCCCTTTTCTAACCTCTAAAAGATGATATGATTTTTAATGCAATCATACACAACTGTTTTCACATTGGAAATAATCACGAGGAATCAATAGGTTTAGGCTAACTGACTGACTGGTTTTGTTTCCATTGTTAATTTCAAGAGGGCTCCTGCAGTATTGTGGATTTCAGATGGGGAAAATAATCAGACCAGGAGTAAACAGCCTTGGTCTTTAGAGTGGGGGAGGGAACATGCAGCGGCACACAGGGCAGGTGCCTGACTTCTGAAGCCAGATGGACACACACGGCTTGTGGAAATAGTGGTGGCATGGCAGCTCAGTTGCCACCTCCCCCTTCACATATTCGCTACAGCAGATGGGGCAGCACATCTCCTGACCAACTGCGCCATGATCTTCAGTGACCAGGATCTCGGGAAGAGCGTCAATGCTCTCCTTGCTTGCTGGTGGATTGGCCACCTCCACATCCACTGCAAGAGACTCCAAGTGTGCAAGGGCAGTTTCCATTGCCTGGGCCAGGCGTTCTTCAAGTGCCATGTAGGTGAGGAACTGAGGATCCACATAGGAAATGGCTTCAGCCACTCCTAACCCATCTGCAAATCCATCAAAGAGGCTCCAATCCACTTCTAGGTCTTCGCTCACACTGGAGTCATCTTCAAGGTTGTTGTTCCCATCCAGCATGAATACCCCAGGCTGCATCAACTCATGACCAGAATCATTATCCCCCTCACTGCTACTCTCATTCTCATTGTACTGGAGCCAAGGAATTTCTCCTTCTTCCAGGGATGCCTGCTCTTCCTGAAGAGATGGTTCTCGAACTTCTTCAAGGTAATTGTTGCCATTGCTGCCAGCACTGGCCCCGGCGCCAGCCCCGGCACTGGCACTAGCACCGGGGCCGGGGCTGGCGCCAGTGCTGGCACTCACCTTAGCCTGTGGAGGTTCCCGCTCTTCTTTCCCCGGCAGAGTCTCCCAGCTTTCGCCACTGGAGGACAGGGCTTGCTCTCGGCTTCGATATTTCCGACGCAGAGCAGCAATCCACTCTTTGTCACTGTCAGAGTCTTCCTCGCAGTATTTGTAGTAATCATCACTGTGCGTCCAGAAGTCAGGGTCGGCCATGGTGTGTCGTCGTCTCGGCACCTTTTCTGGTTTCACTTGGTCACTCCTCACTTCCCGTTTGTCTTCAGGGTACTTTGGCTCAGAATAGCCACTTGAACTCTCGCCTCTGCCTCTTCTTGCTGGGCCATCTGAGTGGCCTTCATTGTCATTGGCAGTATCCCTCCACCTGGAAGTACTGTGTGGCATATCATCATCATCATCAGTATCAAAAAAAATTTTGGGTTTCACGCAGTTTGGACTTGCCAGGTTTCTGATTTTGGGCCTGACCACAGGTTCCTCTGCACTCTTTGAGGTGTTTTCCCCACCACCACAAATACTCACAGGAGCCCTGCTGGGACGTGCAGGTAAATTTTGCTCCCTTTTCTCCCTCTCCAAGCTGTCACCTTTTGTAGCCACCTTGCCTTCAGCAGAAGACGACTGTGAGGCCACACTACTTTGTGGCAGGAAGTCAGCTCTGCTAGCTGAGCATCTTGCTGCAGGGACTGGGTCTAACTTGTCTCGCTCCTCTCTCACATCACGGCTAAAACTAGAGAACTGTGGAGGTGGCCCAGCCAAAGACCTTGCCCCTTTCTCTGGGTCATACAGCTTATCATCTTTAAACTTGCCAGTTTTTCCTCTCGCTGGCGGTCGCTCAACAGGCCCAGCCCCCTCCTCCTCACTATCATCTGCCCCATAAGAGTCAATATGTCCATAGGTCATTCCTCTTCTGCTACCCGAAGCTCTGTACTCTCTTGGCGGATACCTGGAATAGTCCTCATTATCAATATTTAGGTTGGTTCCCGAACTCTCGCTGTCGTCCCAACTACGACGAGTAGTGGAAAATGGCGATCGGCTCCTCTTGGTGGTTTGACTGGAGGCTGATCTGTGCATTGGGACTTTGGAGTTCGTCTTTCTCTGGCTGGCAATCCTTTCCCGCTGGCTCGTGGGTGGCCTGAAACTGACATAAGCATGCCTTCTTCCATACCTCCTACCTGTATTGGACTGATACCCTCCTGTTGGATTGGGCCATACAGGCTTGCTAGATTCCTGACCCATCACTCTGACTTAGGAGGGTTTTCAATACAGCTGGGGCTGGGGCAGGAAGATTCCTGCTCCCTGCACACGTTTTTCAGATGGGAAAGTAAAATCAGTTTAGAATAAAGGAGCAGGGAGATTTATTTTCACTTCAGCAGGCAGGTAACTGAAAGAATAAGGGGCCTTTAAATTTAGTTTCACTTTCTTCTAAGGCCTGGAGTAGCATTCCAGTGACAGGTGTAGACCTGGAACACATTTTTTAATGTTGGCAAAATGATTACAAGACTGGGTTTGCAGGAAAGCCAGACTTAGGGGAGAATCTGACGGAAGATGGGGGGTGACCGGACACTTGGAAGGTGGGTGAAGTACTGTAGAATTGTGCCAATGTGGGGAAAGGAAAGACTGCTGTAGTTTTCTTTTTATGGGGTGTCTGCCTTTTTCTGAGTGCTGCAAACATACAGGAGAAATGCAAATTGGAATAGAGTGGAAAATACAGATCGCTGTGTGCGCACAAGTGCCTATGTGTCTATCAAGAGGAGAGGGACAGGTGGAAGGGGACCAGCAATCCTGCAACAGAGGGATGTTTATGTTTGTAGGGGGAAAGGGTATGAGTGTTAGAATGATTCTGGATGTGGGTATGAGAATGACAGGCATGGGTGGGGTGGCTTTGGAGGAGAGGGGTGTGTGTATGTATGAGGAAAGGGAAGGTGTTTATGTGTGTCGCTGTATGTGTGGCAGCTGAAACTACAGAAGGATGCCCATGTTTATGTGTATGTCACAGGCAGGGGAGTGTATGGTTGGCAATGGAGAGGAGTGTCTGAGAGTTTGTGTGTGCGTATGTTAGTCAAAATGGGAGGCAACAATGGAGAAATGTCAGTGTGAGCAAATGCAGCAGGCACAAACGGAAGCGGGGGTCGGGAGTGGCGCAGCACTGGAGACGGATGCGCTTGAGGTGGATGGAACAGAGGCCGGCAATCAAAGAACGATGCCTGCCTGTGTGGATATGGCAAGCAGGGAAGCAGGTGGTGTCCCCATAGAAGGATTTATGTGAGTGTGTGTGTGCACCTCAGGGACCAGCGAAAGAGCTGTGTCTGACACACGTGGCAGAGAGATCAATAGAGGAGAGCATTTGAGGAGGGGGTATGAATGAGCACATGTGGCTGTATATGCATGTCACTGGCCAGCAATAGAAGGATGTCCTTATGTGTGTATATGACAGGAAGGAAGAAGGAGAGCAGCCTGAGGGGGTGTGTGAATAGGCATGTGTTCGCGAGAGCACGCAGAGGCCGAGCAGGGAGGGGGCCGGTGCTAGAGGTGTGTATGTGGTAGGCGGATAGAGGAGGGGGAAGGCATGGGAGGGTGTGAGGGTGTGAGGGTGTGTGAGAGGGTGTGTGAGAGGGTGTGTGAGAGGGTGTGTGCTGCGTGTGCCTGCGCATGCGCGGGAGAGAAGACGCACTGGAACCTTGAGGATGGAGGGGCAAGGAGGGGGCTGCAATGGAAAGCTTCTCTGCGGGGGCGCGTGCTCGCGAGACACGGAGGGGTGTGGGGTAGGGGGTACGCAATGTCATAGTAAGAGGTGGGAAAAGGCCATCAGCTCAAACGGGAGACCCAAACCGATGTAGCAGGGAAGAGGCAAAATGAAAGAAAAGGGCGTGCGTGGGTCTAGTTTTCCCTGAGAATAATTATTTTTTCCTCCTTACAATTTTTTCCCTGGGAACAGTATTTTTACCTAAAAATCTTAACCATTTACCATTTGGCAAAACAACAGCAAAATATGGGAAGAAAGGCCACGGAGTGCTCCGCAAAGGGGCCGAGGAGGGAAGAAGGAAGGAGAGGGGAGGAGAGGCAGGGAGAAGTGGGAGAGGGCCGCGACCACCACTACCCTCCCAATAGCGATGAAAGCCACTCGAGTGGGGACCGCGCCACACGAAAGGGGTTCCCGGCAGCGGAGGATGCGGCCCCAGAACAGGCCGATGTAGAACATGGGCCTCACTCTGCAGTCAGGTCCCGCGTCCGCCCCACCCCTTCCCGAGGGGCGAACCTGAAAAGCAGTTCCCAGGAACCCCGCAAAATCCTCGTCCCCGTGCCCGGCCACTCGCACTGCGCCCGACCACTCGCGCCACCGCCAGCGCCCGGATGAATCGAGGAAACAATCAGCCTTTCACTCACCAAGTCCAGAAAGCCACACGCTTTTCAGAGAAGCAGAGCTCTCGGACCTCCGACCGCCACGACCGCCAGAGCCGCTGCTCCCGGTCTCGAGCTCCTCCCCCGCCAGACAGCAGCGGGGCGGGTGGCGACTGCGGCGGCGGAAGTGATTGTGAAGTCAGCTGGAGCCCGCCCCCTTGATGTGGCGGGGGCGGCAGCTGCTCTCCACAAATCAGGGTGGGCCCGAAAGCATTATTTCATCTTAAATGATGAAATCGTCAAGGATACAGCAAAGGACAGCGAAAAATGTCACGAACACCCAGCTTTAACTAATGTTAAATATTTAGCTATATTCCCTTCTGTGTTTTTTTTTTAATAAAATAAAATCTGCAAATTCTTTCTGATTAAGTCCAATGTGAGAGTAATTACGTTACTACATCACATCCTATGTTACGTGTTATGGTTGTACCGAAAGTATTAAACCTGTGAAACTATATTTAGGGTTGCAGTAAGCTTAAATTTTTTTAACCTTATTGTTAAAGCAAACTGAAGCTGTTTAGTGTTGAATTTGTTGCTGCTAATCACAAAACCAAGCTTCTCTATTCAAGAGATCATAAGACACAACACAGGTTCATATTCTGGTATTGCATTGCAGTTAAAACATATTACAGTTATGCCTTTTGGATTTATACCATTTTACTGAATTCTGAAGTCTTTAAATTGCGCTTTATAATGGAACTCTAATATTTACAGCCAATGTAAACATTTCCTATGTTCACAACAGTAGCAAAGTTTTGTTCTTACTGGAAACAAAATGCACAAGAGAACAAAAACCTTAGGGGTAGCAACATAATAGAAATAGAATGTATAACTTTCAAACCATTAAAGTAATAATATGTGGAACAAAGAGAAAAACTCATTCTGAACAAAGGTCAAGAAATGTTGCTGGGGGTGTGCAAAAAAAAGGATGCAAAAAGTAAACAAAAACGCAGGAATCTAAATATATCAGCATGCATTATGGGTTAACATCTCCTAATAAAAACCAAACTCTTATTTTGAGGATTTTGTTTTTAAAAGTCAAGTTATATACTATTTCTGTGAGTTTCACCTAAAGCAGAAATAGAAAAAATATATATATGACAGTAAAATACTAGCAGAAAAAAAGGAAGGGAGGGAGGGAATGAGGGAAAGAAAGAAGCAAAAAAAAAAAAAGAAAGAAAGAAAAGGAAGGAGGAAAGAAACTCGTAACAACATCAATATCCTAAACATCGAGAACTCAGAGTAAAAAGCACTAAAGAGAACAAAACAGGTTGTTTTATTCACTCAGAAAGATACGACAAGCTGATGGTGTGTGCCTGTAGTCCCAACTACTTAGGAGGCTGAGGAAGGAGGATTGTGTGAGCCCAGGAGGTTGAGACTGAAGTGAGTGGAGATCACGCCACTGCACTCCAGCCTGGACAACCAAGCAAGATGCTGTCTCAAAATAATGATGATAATAATAATGATAATAATAATTGAACTTCATTGGCGAGAAATCTGAAGCTATCAATTTTTTAAATGGAGATACATTTTCTTTCTTTTTTTTTTTTTGAGATACATTTTCATCTAGCAATTCTACTTCTAGTCAACTTCTCTGTTGTGTGTTCTATTGAGACACACAAGTGGAGAAAGATATGTGAATAGGAGTGTAGCAAGATAATGCAAACCACTTTAATTCTCCTCAACAAATAAATTGCTTAAATTTACTTAAACATGTTGCTTGGTGGCTCATGTACAGACATGGTGGCTGACACCTGTAATCACAGCACTTTGGGAGACCAAGGCAGGAGGATTGCTTGAGCCCAGGAGTTTCAGACCAGCCTGGACAATATGGTGAAACCCCATCTCTGCAAAAAAATGTAAAAATTTCCTTGGCACAATGGCACATGCTTATAGTCCCAGCCACTTGGGAGGCTGAGGTGGGAGAATCACTTGAGCCCAGGAGGTTGAGGCTGCAGTGAGCTAAGATTGCGCCACTGCAATCCAGCCTAGAAAATAGACTCAGACCCCGTCTCAAAAAAAAAAGAAAGAAAGAAAGAAAGAAAGAAAGAAAGAAAGAAAGAAAGAAAGAAAGAGAGAGAAAAAGAAGAAGAAAGGAAATAAGGCAAGTATATACATACTGATCTAATATAAATATATTAAGTGAAAAAAGCATGTTGCAGAACAACGCATTTTTTTAAAAAAAAATATGATAGTCACAAAAATTTATGTGCCAAACAACATAGTTTCAAAATATATAAAACAAATACTGTTAGAAATATAAAGAGAGATCAGGAAGTCTGCAATTATAGTGGGAAACTTCACCTCATTTCTTATGGTATAGATAAATCAAATAGACTGCAAAATAAATAACGATATGAGGAAATGGGACAATACAATATACTGAATGTATATGTATTTTTGTTTTCTGTTTTTTTGAGACAGAGTCTTGCTCTGTCACCCAGGCTGGAGTACAGTGGCGCAATCTTGGCTCACTGCAACCTCCACCTCCCAAGTTCAAGCAATTCTCCTGCCTCAGCCTCCTGAGTTGCTGGGACTGCAGGTGCTCACCACCACACCCAGCTAGTTTTTGTATTTTTTGGCAGAGATGGGATTTCACCATGTTGACCAGGCTGGTCTCAAACTCCTGACCTCAAGCGATCCACCTGCATCGGTCTCCCAACATGCTGGAGTTACAGGCTTGAGTCACTGTGCCCAGCTTGTATATGTATTTTTGGACTCAAGAGAGGATACATTTTCTTTATAAAATATTTTTAAATATGTCAACTATACAGAAAAGTAGAATACAAAATACACATTTGAATGCACCTGTCACATGGATTGCGCAAATTTTATTTTCTCCAGATCCTCAGATCCTTCTGTTTTTGAAACAAAATAGTACAGTTGAAGCTCTCACTTCATCCTATTCACTTGACCTCTCTCTTGAAAATAAGCCTTATTTGGAAGTTGATGTGATCTCGTCTTGTTCATGTTTGTGTGTGTGTATATATATATCTATGTATAGATAGATGTGTATATATGTATATGTGTATATGTATGTGTATGTGTATATATATATACATATATGCATATATGTAGTATATATTTACAGATGTGTATATATATATCTGTGCATATATGTAGTATATATTTACAGATATATATATATCTGTGACCAATACACAATTTTTTTCATGTATTTAAATTATGCAAATGGTATCATTATAAATATATACTTTTGCAACTTAGATTTTCACTCTATTGATTTTTGAAACTCAGCAATTTTGATACCTGTAGATCTAAGTCATGCATTTTAACTGCTGAATATTACTGTATTAATTATCCAATATATTACTATAACGTATTATTGTATGGCCTTCTTTTGCATAAGTTATCTAATTTATCTCTTTTCCTACTGTTTCTGTTTTGTGCAATTATAAGTGAGGATTTCAATGAACATCCTAGTGCATGGCTCCTTGTGCCTACATAGAAGAGTTTCTTCAGGGCAGAGCTTCCCAACTGAGTTATAAGTGTTCTGATATATTGATCCCCTTAGATCTACAGGAAGGTAGCTCTGGCTTCAGCAGCTGCCCCTAGGGACTGTTGCCTCTGGCCAAGAGCACACTGTCTGTTTATTCCAATGAGCTGACACAATATTAGCATTTTAAATATATGTTCTGATGTGAAAAGGATTGAAATAAATTGCTCCAGTATAGAAACACTGAAATAGAATTTCTTGGTCAAAGAGTATGTTGTAGTTATCTATTGCTGTATAACAAATTTCCCTAAAACATAGCAGCTAAAAACAACAAACATTTATCATATCACGGTTTCCATGGGTCTGGAATCCAGGCATGGCTTAGTTAGGTGCCTCTGGCTCAAAGCTTCTTATGAGGTTGCACCCAACCTCTCATCTAGGGTTGCAGTCTCATTTGAAGGCTCAAGTAGGGTAAGAGGTCCACTTCCAGGCTCTTTTACATGGTTGTCGACAGGCCAAAGAAGACCCATTTCTAAGCTAATTCATGTGACTGTTGTCAGACTTTGTTTCCTCGTCATGTGGACCTATCCGTAGGCTTCCTAAGTCTCCTCACAGCATGGTAGCTGGAGAGAGGGAGAGAGAGATCCCAAGAGGAAAGATGCAGTGAGAGCCCATCACTTTTGCCATATCTTATTCATTAAAAACAAGCCATGGAATTTGTTCATTTTATCTAAGTTACCAAATTTGTGGCCATAGAGTTGTTCATAATACTTTGTATTATCCTTTTAATGTCCATGAGGTCAGTCGCAATGGCTCCTCTGTAATTTCTGATATGAGTAACTCTGTTTACTCTCTTTTTTTCTTGGTTAGTCTGGCTATAGGTTTCTCAATCTTGTTGACCTTTTCAAAGAACCAGCTTTTGATTGTATTATTTTTTCTCTACTATTGTTCTGTTTTCAATTTCATTGATTCCTGTTTTAATTTTATTGCCTGTTTCTTTCTACTTACTTTGGACTGAATTTACTCTTTTATTTTCTAGTTTCCTAAGATGGAAGCTTAGGTGATTTATTTAAGGTCTTTCTTATTTTCTAATGTATGCATTCAATGCTACAAATTTCCCTGTAAGCACTGCTTTTGCTGCATCCCACATATTTTGGTAAATTATCTCAAAATACTTTAACATTTATCTTGACACTTCTTCTCTAACCCATGTTTTATTTGAAAGTGTATTGTTTAATCTCCAAATACTATATGATTTTCCAGCTATCATTCTTTTATTGATTCCTAATTCAATTTCATTGCGGTCTGAGAGGATACTTTGTATAGTGTCTATTCTTTTAAATTTGTTGAGGCATGTTTCATGGCCCAGGATGTAGTCAATCTTAGTGAATGTCCAATGTGAGCTTGAAAAGAATGTGTATTCTGCTTTTGTTGGATGAAGTTATCTATAAATGTCCATTAGATCCAGTTGATTGATGGTGCTATTCAGTTCAACTATATCTTTACTGATTTTCTGCCTGCTGGATCTGTCAATTAGTGATAGAGTGGTGTTGAAGTCTCCAACTATAATTATGAATTCATCTATTTTTTCTTGAAGTCCTATCAGTTTTTGACTCATATATTTTGATGCTCTGTTGTTAGGTACATACACATTGAAGATTGTTACGTCTTCTT